AAAGTTATTAAAAACTATTCTAAATTTTAAATTATGATTAAATTTTAGATTATAAATAAAAAAATAAAATAAAAAATTATTTCTTTTTTATAAATTAATTCATGATTATATTTATAAAAAAAGTTTTGTGCTAATATTTTTTTCAAAATTCTAATATATTTTCATTACAAAATATATTTAAAAATATTTAATTTTTGTATTTTAGTTTTTATAATTTATCAGGCTATTTTCATATATATTAAACTTATAAATTTATGAAATTAAATATAATATATAATAAAAATTATTAAATTACCTCTTTTTGCATTTCTTTTTTGGCAAACATTTGTAGTTCATCACCAAAGATTTCTTGAGAATTGAGTACCTCCTGATAATCCATTTCTTTTACAAAACTATGATCTTCTATTCCATTCGCTTTAAGAAATTCCATGTATGCTACTTGAAATGCTTGTCCAATACTTTGTGCAATGAATCGAGCCTCTTCACTTTCAAATACGTGACAAATCATCTTTGGAGTTCTGTTGATTTTTGGTGCTTCTTCCATTTCGTGCGGTACAAAGCGTCTTCGTGCCATTAGGACTACTACATCGCCAATATCTGCTATATATGATATTGTTCTTAATGCGTGGTCCATCATGATTTCTTTCAAATCCGTATTTAAAACCATTATTTTTTCTGTTGAGATGAATAAGTCAACTTCTGTACTTGGTTGTGTTTCGCCATCCGGTGCCTGTATGTATATATTTTTATATATTTTTATATTTGAATAACATATTTGAAATTAAAAGATTTAATTTAATAAAATTAAATTCTATTTTACATTAAATAATAAATTAAATAATAATAAAGAATGAACATGAATATTAAAAGTTACGCTTGTTATTGAAGAAGTATAATTGATTTATAAACAAAAATTAATTTAAAAATTAAGAAATTAATTATCGATCACTTATTCATATATATTTTTATATTACACTATCAATGGAAACTTTAAACATCTGAAAATTAATAGTATTAATTAATTATTCTCTTAAAAACAATTGTTATAAAAAAACGTTAAATGAAACTTATTTATTGAGACAATTAAAAAATATCTATAATTTTACAAGTTTACATTTCTTTTTAAAATTTTGTTTAAATTTAAATTATTAATTACATTATTAAATTATTTATTATATTATTTTATTATATTATTTTATTATATTATATTATTTAAATTTACATCTTTTTAATAAATTCTTTTTATTAATAATATCTAATAATTATACAAAAAAAAATCATTGATTTCAATAATGAAATATATTATGTTATGTATATTATTAGGAATAATATTTAGAACAACTATTTAAAATATATATATATATATAAATATATATAATGATATATATAAATATATATAAATAAATATATATTGATGTATATAAATATATATATATATATTGAAAAATAAAATATATGTCTATTTTAGTTTTTGAAATATCGATATATTTAAAATTGCACAGTTTAGTGTTTAAAAGATTCAATTTAAGGATTTTAACTTTAATTTTAATTTTAATTTTAAGATGTAATGATCATTTTCCTAATTAATAAG